CTTCTTCTTCTTCTTCTTCTTCTTCTTCTTCTTGTTCTTTTATTACTGATGTATGTGAGATTTGGGGGAAATTTGGATATGAGAAAAATAAAGTATGAGTTATAAAATTCTAGAATAAAAAATTGAGTAAATGGCATTTCCCAGGATTCCACTGAGCAAGCCTGAAACAATTTTACAATAATGAGCCATCCAATTATGGGATAGCAGCTAACAGCATTTTTGTCATCCCAGTTTGAAGAATTATGTAAATCCCAGCATCTTCCGCTCATTTTTCCCATGTAAAGACCACATCTTTGGAAAATTGGGTAACTGATGCAAATATGTAATAAAAGAACTTCTTTAAACTTGGCCAGAGTGGAAAAATTATATTTGCCAACATCCACGAAATTATACTTTATTTTCACAACTTTCTGATTGTGTATAAATGAAATGGGATATGATTTGATCAGAGATAAATGAAAAGCCTTTTGAATGTGCTTTAATTTCCTCTCACCAAGACTCAAGGTTATTTCTTAATATGAAAACTTGATTACATAATGACAGATAATTCCATTGAGAGTTCTGAGGGAAAGTCGGAACTACAAAGATTTTACAACCAGAAAAATTCCTATGACAAGCCACCCTGTTCTACCACAAATAGAAGGGACCTTGTTTTAAATATTCTACTTTCTGTCTCTTCTAATTTTTTGCATATTGGATTTAAGATTTTAATTGTGGTAAAATACACAAAATATAAAATTCACTGTTTTAACCATTTTTAAAAAGTGTACAATTTGATGGTATTTAGTATATTCACAATGCTGTGAATAATGTTTTTATGCATCCATTTGTCAGTACTTCATTCCTGTTTATTGTTGAATAATATTCCATTGCATGAATATACCACATTTAAAAAATCAATTCATCCATTTATGGACATTTTTGTGGTTTTCCCTTTTGGCTATATTGTGTGTATATTGGATTAAAAAAATAATCTCTTTACTCCATTTGCTCCATTTCCTTAATGTAGTGGGGAAATGTCATTTTAGTATTTTAGATATTTTTAGATATTTAAAATCTAAATTGACATTCAGATTTTTTAAAAGATAACTTTATTTTACAGACAGGTTAGGAAAACCTGAGAGAGCAGTATGGTTGGAAAACCATAACCATTATTTGGCTGTGTTAATGGGTAAATAGTGATGTCTTCCAAGGAAATGAGTAGGAAAGGTAATCTTAATATTTTTGTACTTTCTGATTGCCTTCAAATTTACTCTTCAGTTTACTTAGGTGGCTTATGAATTGACAGAAATCTGGAAAGCCAGGTTGGGGCAGGAATGAGACCAAATTCCTGCTGAGGAGATGGGCTGCTTAGGAAGCTGCTCTGTTAGCAGTGTCCCTGGAGTGTTAATTCAGTTCTGCCACTGATGCCTCAAATTAACTTGAAGTAATGCTGTACCTTTGAGTCATTTTCTCTAGATTCAAAGTTCCTAATAGGCGGATTTGTCAGGCCATGCCTAGTCATTGACCTACATTCCAGCTGCCAGAGGAAAAGGAGAGGGAATTGCTGTCCTCCTCCGCTTCTGGGGTGAAGTGTCCACTACACTGTCCTGACCTTATACCTCCACACATACTCTGCATCAGAAACTTCAAGTTTACAAAACAACCTCAACTAATTCTGTTCAGGATCTCCTTCCCATTATTTTTTTGAGTATTGCTAATGGGTCTTGTACTGGAGTAGGCATTGTATGGAGAATGCAAAGGTGAATAACATCATCGAAGAGCTTCTAACGTAGTGGGGAAGATATATGATCACACAACCAAGAACATAAAGTTAGAAAAGTAATTCCAGACTTTTTGTCATCTGAGCATGTTTCATTTATCACACAGTGCATGACATTCTTATTAAAATTATGTAAGGAAAATATTCAATTCTAATATTATCTTGATACTATAACATACATTCATTACATTATTCACATATTTATTCAGTAAACATTTATTGAGAAAAGTATTGCAGTGTAGTATCCAAAACTAACATACCGTAACTCCAAACAGGTCATTCATCTACTTGAGGGGGTACATTTAAGAGCTTAGTTCATCAAAAATGCAAGTCTATACCAAATTACATGTCTTTCAGGGATTCTACTGAAATGCTTTCATGACAGAGGCAGCTGATTAAAAACACCTGCACTTAGAGTTTTCCAGACCCAAACTATGCCTTCCATGTCTAATAGCACAAATGCAAGACTCCCTACAAAGTGCTTGTCCAAATGAGAAGATTGAGTTCTTTGCTGAATCTGGAAAACTTTTTACCCCCACCTGCAGGTATCTCTAGAGTTCATCCCAACTTGGAAGCATGATAACTATTTGATTAGACATGGGTATAAATCAAATCCCTAAATTTTCATGACAGTGTATGGTCTTTGCTACCTGCATGTCCAGTATCAAAAACATATGGACATTTATTTAATCAACAATACAAATCAGAATTTAGACTGCCCTCTAATACTTGCCAAATGCTCAGTTGAGAAACCTGGTATTTCAGGAAGTTGGCCTAAGGAAATGTGACTCTCTGTGTCTCTTGGCTTCACAAGTTTTATCTCTATATAAAGGTAGGTCATCTAGATATAGGCTGTACTATTTGGGCAAAAATTCCTTTATGGAGTAAGTTGCAATTTGATTTTATGCCTTAATCTTTTAGAGTTGGTCAATAGCAGAAACATCCTTCGGAAACATGATTCTGTGTCTTGGGCAAAACCACAAAGGCAGCATCTATTATATAACCTAATAGTCCCTAATATAAGGATTTACATTCTAATTTTTTCCTGCTCCCAGGAAAAAGGTTCTAACTTCAGATTTCATTTGCCATGTAAGAACTATGTCATCCAGGATGGTTTCCTTATTGATTGACTTCCATGAAGTTCAAAGACAAGTTCAGGGCTCTGTAGTAGCAAATTTAGCCCAGGTTGCTGGTCCTGTACATGTAAATCACGGAAAAGAAGCTCAAAACTTTGTAGTCAGCTTTAAAAAGTTGAGGTATAATTCATAAACCATAAAATTCATTCTTTAAGAGGGTACAAGTCAGTTACTTTTATTATATTCACAAAGTTGTGTAATCATCTCCACTGTTTAATTCCAGAACATTTCATCAGTTGGAAAAGAAATTCCATGCCCATCAGCAGTCACTCCCTGCTTGTCCTTCCCCTGACCCTGGACAAACACTAATTTACTTTCTTTGTGCATATGTCTTTATGCATTTGCCTGTTGTGCACATTTCACACAAATAGAATCATACGATATGTGCCCTTTTTGTCTGGCTTCTTTCACTTAGAATAATGTTTTTCAAAGTTCATCCATGTTGTAGCATGTATCAGCCCCTCATTCCTGTTTATGGCTGAATAATATTTCATTGTGTAGATATAACCACATTTTGATTATCCATTCATCAATTGATGAACATTGGAGTTGTTTCTGTTTTTTGGCTTTTATGAATAATGTTGCTATGAACATTCAAGTACAAGTTTATATGTGAACATGTTTTCAATTCTCCCTCTTTCTTAAGCAACATACTGAAGACTAGAATTACTGGGTCAAATGGTAACTCTATGTTTAATTTTTTAAATAACTACCAAACTTGTTTTCCAAAGTAGCTGCACCATTTTATACTCCCACCAACAATGCATGAAAGTTCCAGTTTCTCCATATCTTCTCCAACACTTATTATTATCATTTTTATTGTAGCCTTTATCTGACTAAAAGGGATCACTCTGGTTGTTGTATTGAGAATAGACCATCGGAGGGCAAGGATAGAAGCAAGAAGATTAGTTAGGAGGCCACTGAAGTAACCCGAGTGAGAGATTTTGGCAACTCAGATCAGCATATTAGCAGAGAACATGGTGATAAATGGCTTGATTCTGAATATATTTTAAAAGTAGGGCCAACAGGACTTCCTGACAGGCTGGATGTTGTTAGGGGTTCAGAAGAGTTAACAAAGAGAAGAGTGAACAGTGAGTTAAAGGATTTTGGCTGGAGAAACTGGAAAGATGGGATAAAAATAAACTGAATGGGGAAGACTGTGAATGGAACAAGTTTGGGGAGAAAGATCAGTTCTGTTTTGGAAATACTAAGTTTGGGATGTCTATGAGACATCCAAATGGAGATGTTTATAAGGCTCAAGTCTGGAGTTTATTAGATAGGTCTTGGCTGAAGATATATAT